ATCCCTAAAACCTAAACCCCCAACCCTGAATCCCTAAACCCTAAACCCCCAAAACCCTGAGCCTTTTCAGGATCTTCAGACCTCTCAGTAGTGCGGGCAGGTTGGCTTGCAGGTGGCCAGGCGAAAAGTCTCCATACTCACCTTGGAGGAGAGAGGGGTTTAGGGTTTAGGGTTTAGGGTTTGGGGTTTAGGGTTTAGGGAGGGTTTATAATTAAGGGGGTTTTGGTAACCCCAAGCCTCAATTTAGGACAATATAACCATGAAATGAGATAAACCCTATGGTAGTTGCCGTTTCCTTTTTCCATTCCTTCATCCCCAGCAAAGCAAAGGCAAGCTTGAAGCTAAGCCAGGCTGCTGATAAAGGTGTTGCTGAGATCCAGATCGGTCAGAGACTCGGCCCAAAACCTTGCAACCCTAAACCCTAAACCCTAAACCCTAAACAGTGTGCCGGGGGAAGCAGGGTTGAATGCTTGGGTTTTAGGGTCCCCCTCAGGTAGATGGAATATGGCTTTGGGTATATTATAATAAGATCCCCATCTATACCCTACATGCTATCTACTTAAAGGGTTTAGGGTTGAGGGTTTAGGGCTTTGGGTTTAGGATTTATGGGGCTTGGGTTTAGGGCTTAGGGCTTATAGGGTGTAGGGCTTAGGGTTTAAAGCTTATAGGGTTTAGTCCTAAACCCTAAAGCCCTGTTTAGGTGCAAGTTAAGGTGCAAGTGCAAGGGCTTCAAGTGTTGGGCTAAAGGTGCCAGGGCTTACGGTTTGAGGTCCAAGGGTACCATTTTGGGGGTCCCCATAATAAGGATGATCGTATTTTGGGGTCTATATTGGGGTCCCCCGATTTCTGGAAACCCTAAACCCTAAACTTTGAAGGGTGTACAAGTTTAGGGCTATAGGTTGATGAACTGATAGTGATGCCAGAGCCACGCAGGGTTTAGGGCTTAGGGTGTAGAACCTAATCCTTGTGTTGTTTTGTTTGACAGGGCACAAAGGTCTGAAGAACTTGAGAACCCTGAAACCCATCACGCCAAAGCTTGGGATTCATGCGGTTTGGGGCTTCCCCCTTAAGATCCTTTATAATAGTCCCCTAGATTATCCCCTAGATAACCCCCTTTTTTTCATAAGTTTAGGCTAGAGCTCAGCTAGCAGTTGTTTGGTGTCTGGGGTTTATACGGTTTAGGCTTTTAGGTTCTGGGCATAATCGGGCCTTTGAGATTTAGAGTTTAGGGATTGGAGCTTTGGGTGCCTATGGTTGAGAGTTTAGGGATTGGCGTCTATGGCTTGTACGGTTCTGGGGTTCAAGGTGTAGGGCTTATCACAACCCCACCCCCCCCCCCTCCCCCCCAACATTCTGGCGCAAAAATTGTATTACAATTGACTTGGCCAAATAACGCGCCATAAGCCCTAAACCCTAGAGAATAAGGGGGCCTATAAGGCCACTAGAAATGTATGGGGATTGCGATGGGACTGTAAGCGTCCCGGTTACAAGTAGTGACCATAGAGGGAATTACCCTCTACTGAAGAAGTTTAGGGTTTAGGGTGTGGGGTTTATACAGTTTAGGCCTGAACCCCTAAGCCCTAAACCTAAGCCCTACCTGTAGCCCTCATAACCTGTAGTAAGTAAGAACCCCCTGAGTCGTAGGCAGAACCCATAAAACTCAGGTGATTGGGTTACAAAGTAAACCCGAAGCCCTGAGTAAGAGGCGTTACACCGTAATACCCAACAACTTTTAAACCCTAAACCCCTACATGCATGGGTTCTGGTACCCTAAACCCTAAGCCCTAAACCCTAAACCCTCAATCCTAAACCCCAACCCCTAAATCTTCATCCCGGAGCCCTTGACTCCACATGAACTACTGTCTAAACTCCTAGTAACCCCCTTAATAACCCCTATAGTAGTCCCCTAGATAATCCCCTATATATTCCCCTTTAAGGAGTTTAGACTATAGCTCACATAACCCCAATATGACATAACCCCTCGATATCCCCTATAACCCCTGTTTAGGCTTTAGGGATTAGGGTTTAACCCCTTTTGAAAAAGGGACCTACTCAAAATCCTACCTAGCATGCCACAGTTGAACAGTCTGCAAATTACCCATCATCACACAGATTTACATTTGCTACATAATCCCTTAATGTCCCCTGTAACAGCGTTAAAGGGTTGTCTAGGCCTTGAAGGAACTTACTTTACTTGGTTGGCCTTTAGAGACCCCTTGAAAAATGTTAGTATAGATGGGTCCCTATAAAACCACTGAGGGAAATATTTAAGGAACCCAAAGGCCTACCCAGCTTAAACACTACCTAGCCTGTTTCCTCAATGCTGGCTGCACCTCAGCTGCCTCCAAACGTGCTTCTGAGGAGCAAGAGGGGCTGGACCATCGTGGGATCGTCTTCCTTGAGGTAAGGTTTGGGGTTTTAGGGTTTTAGGCTTAGGGCTTAAACCCTAAACCTAAGGGATTTAGGCTTTGGGGTTTAGGTTTTTAGGGTTCAAGGACTAGTGTTTGCTGTGATATAGGCTGAAGCAGATGTGGTCATCTAACATTTGCCCAACCCGTGCACGCCCGGGCAGCCACACCACCCAAACCCATTCCTATTAGGGATGAGGGCCTTAGCTTAGCTAGGTCCATCTTGGTCAACAACAAAAACATTTTACAGCTAGCATCTTCTTATTCTACACTCCAAGATTTGTAACAGGCCCATAACGCCTAGGGCTGCTGGTGATCAGCTGGAGACCTCCTGAAGTCAGCGGGAGACAGGCCTCTCCAAATTGAGAAAGTTGAAGGCAGTTTTGGCTAAAGCCCCTGAGAGCTCTGCAAGGGCTTGGGCCCCTGCAGGCACCTCACCTCTGCATCGGCCTAAACCCTACACCCAAAGCCCCTATTCCCTAAACTCTAAGCCCCTAAGCCGCAAGCCCGCTAAAGCCCCCAAACCCTTGACTCCATATATAAGATCCCTATATATCCCCAGCAGCCCTTATAAACCCAAAGGCCCTAAACCCAACTCGGGCTTCTACATGGTATCGGCTCCATAAAGCCCCACGTTCCATTTCAATCTCCAAGTTCTTTTACCATTTGATTCTCCACTATTGGCGTACTATCTCGACATATCCCGAAACCTAAGCCTTGCACCCCACACAGCCCTAAACTGCCAGGTCCTCGCCCCTTCCCTTTTCCTGTCTTTCCACAGACTCCTAAGTTCAAGTACGGTTTACGTGTTCAAGGGTTTGGGGTTTAGGGTTTAGGGTTTAGGGTTTAGGGTTGGGGCTTAAGGACACATTGCAAAAGAGTTCCCCCTTGGAAGGTTAACCTTTACGGCTTAGGGTGAGAGCGCGCTGGCGGTATCTGGGCAGGGGTGAACCCGACGTCGGGTCCAAACGAGGAGGCAAACGATAGCCACGACCTAATTTAGGGTTTGGGGTTTATCACCTACTTATGCATACCCATGAAGCTCCAGGTAAACCCTCAACCCTGAAACGCATACCCTGAGCCCTATATCCTGGAATTTAAATCTGAAACCCTAAACCCTGAGCCCTAAACCCTAAACATCCTTAAATCCTACATCCTACACATTAATCCGAGGCCCTGAACACTAAGCTTCAAGCCCTGAAACCTAGGCCCTAGACTCTAACCCCCCAACTCCAAGTAAGCTGTAAACTCAAATGGGCAGGCATGCAACAAGACACCAGTCCAAAGATAGCATCTGCCCTACTTAGCCCCAAATCCCATAAACCACTACGTAACCCCAGCATTTCACTTTCCATGTTCTTTTCCATTTGCCTCGCTACGTTCTTGACCACGTAAGCCTGAACATCAAACCCTACATAGCCCTTATAGGGATGTACCCTACGCAAGCCCTGAACCCTCAACTTGGAACCCTAACCCTTAACCCTGGACCCTCAACCCTTAGCCCTAAACCCTCTAAGGGGCCCTTCCAACTTCCTAGTCCGGGCAGCGATATTGGTGAAGTGGCATAGGCAGCAGTCTGCCAAATTCAGAGTGGACAGGGACGCGAAGACCGGCTGCTGCAAAGCCTACAGAGATTAGAGTTTAGGTTGTAGTTGTTTTTTACACCCTTCGCACCTTTTCTCGAGTGCCAGCACAAGCTAGGGGAGCTTACAGGCGGGTTTTAGGGTTGAAGGTTAGGGGTTGAGGGTTACGAGTTGAGGATTTAGTGTTCAGGGCTTGCTGCTTAGGGAACGTCAGGGGATGTAGTGAGTAGATTATACATAGGTTTATAGTATTAGTAGGCGAGCCCTACCTACGCGCGAACTTATAGCCCACCTTCAAGTACCTGGACTCCAACAGCATCAAAAACATGCCCGAGATGCTTAAATATTGCAAGAACATCATAGTTCTACATACTTCGCGGATCCAAGCAGGCACTACATCTGAGCTTTATGGTGAGGAAGGGTCAGGGGACAGGTTTGAGGATGTAGCCTTCAGGGGTTGGAAGAGATTAGACCTAAGCCCTGAAGTGACGGGTAGGGCTTCACAAGGGCCAGAACCCTCAACCTTAAACCCTAAACCCTTAACGCTAAACAGAAAAAACCCTTAAACCCTAAACCGAAACCCTAAAACCTAAACCCTTAACGCTGAACACAAAAAGCCTTAAATTCTAACCTTAAACCAAAACCCTAAACCCGTAACCTAAACCGAAACCCTAAACCCTTAACCTGAAGCCCTTACCCCAAATTCTATGATGGGCAAGCGAAAACCAAACCCAGGATGAAAGGCCCATACCAGGAGCCCGCAATCCGAACCTAAGAATCTTAGAGTGGTCAAGGGTTTAGAGGTGTAGGGTTTAAGGGTTTAGGGGTTAAAGGGTTTAAGATTTACCGGTTTAAGGGTTTAAGAGTTTAGGGTTTAGGGTTTAGGGTTTCAGGTTTGGGGTGTAAGGGTTCAAGGGCTTGGGGTTCAAGGGTTTAAGGGTTTAAGGGTTTACGGGTTTCAGGGTTTGAGGGTAGTTGGGGTTTACGGGTCTAGTGCCCTTCGCAACCCAGCTCTAGCAGGCTAATGTCAGCTGTGTTAATGGTATATGAGCCATCAACTTAGGTGCTCCGAAGGGTTGGGAGCTTAGGGCTTACGGCTGAAAGAGTGTGGGCTCAAAGGAATTACCCTAGAGGGTCCAAGGACCCAAATAATAAGGTCTTAGGGCCCAAATACTATATTGTTAATGGTATTTGGGGCCGTAAAACCCTATTATTTGGGTCCTTGGACCCTTAGGGTACTATATCTCCTTACCCTAAACTCAAGGCGTAGGCTGCCCACCTACGATGGTGGGCGGCGCCTAAGTCCCTCGCCCGCTATGGCGAAAGATCTCTACAGTCTGGCCATTGCAGCAAGTCGCAAGCAGCGATGCACCCCACGTTACCCTGCAGCTCCTCTAATGCATGTCCCACGTAACATCACTGCAAAAGCCCAAACCCTAGGGATCCAAGTATACAAATAAAACCTACATTGCGCCTTAAAGACTGTACAATATTACCTACATTGGGCTATCTGGATCCTTAGGGTTTAGGGTCTAAGTTACCATAATGGGTACATATGTATATGTATAGGTATACCCTAGAAGCCCAGGTACCCATATAGTAGGTCCTTGGGTTACAGATAGTATGACATTATATAGGGGCTTAAGGACAGGAACCCAATATGTAGGTATGTGGGCTTCTAGGGTATATATATATATACATACCCTAAACCCTAAACCCCTTAACCGTGTTACTAGATAGGAATCCTGAGGGACACCCTACACCGGGTTGCTTACGATCCCCCGAAGTTGAAAGCATCAGCTTCAGGCTGACCCTAAGGGTCCAAGGACCCAAATAACAGGGTCCCTTTAAAGGGGGGGGGTTCTAGGGGGATATATAGCGGGTTTAGGGTCCAAGGACCCAAATAATAGGGTTTTAGGGCCCAAATACTATAATATTATTGGTATTTGGGCCCTAAAGCCCTATTATTTAAGGGTCCTTGGACCCTTAGGTTGAATGAAGCCCGAGCCCCGCCATTCCAGAAACCTCGGGCACTACAACCCTAAATCCTTAACCCCTAAAACCCTAAACCCTAGACCCTAAATCCTAGGTCCTCAACCCCAAACCCTAAGCCCTAAATCCTAAACCTTACCACTAAACCAGCCTCCAGCTCTGTCTGGCAATGCATGATGCATTCCGCTATGTTTCTGTCAATGGCTTGAAGCCATGTTGGGGCATGTCCAGTCAGCAGCACACGTCACTCAGATGAGAATTCTTGCCAGACCACTATGACCTGCTTCTCTTTTCCACCTCCAGCTGGAGGAAAAGGGACCCTGATGCGGGATGGCGTCTCATCGTAGCCGCACTTGACGATGAGGTTGAGAGGCTTGTATTTCCCTATTGATCCAAATAGCCCAATGTAGGTAGTATTTACAGACTTTGGCGCCCGATGTAGGTATTACTTGTATACTTGGATCCCTAGGGTTTCTCACTAAAACCCTAAACCCTAAAACCTAAACCCTTACAGAACTGCATCATCAAGACCAGCATTTGTTCCCAAAGCAACCCAGAATAATTGCTGACTCCTGCGGCGCATTGTGCATACTGCCTGGACGAACATGTTTAGCGTGGCCTAAATCCTGAGCCCCGAAGTCTAAATAGTAGTTTCCCGTTTTCTTTTCCATTTTCCCTATATAACGCCTATATAGCCTCTATAGAACTCCTATATAACCCTAAACCCTAAACCCAAACCCTAAACCCTAACCCACAGGGTTCATCGATCAGTACACGGAGCCCTGAATGGTCCCGAGGTTGTTGTTAGCCCAGCTTCCGCTACCAGGAAAGAAAGTCCGTGTTGCAGCTGCAACGCTGAAGAAATCCGACCATAAAAAGCACAAGGTATCCCTAACTGTAATCCCCCGAGACCTATACTAGAAACACTATGCTTCATAATTCAAAACCCCGAGCCTTAAACCCTAAACCGTTTGTCACCATTCGTCAATGAAGTAAACCCTAAACCCTATTTCTTGGTTGGCCTTAGAAACCTCTGGAAAATATTAGCATAGATGGGTCCCTATAAAACCAATAAGGGACTAAACCCTAAACCCTAAACCCTAATATTACCCTAATGGGTACCTATTTGAGGAACCCAAAGGCCTACCCAGATTTCCTACGGAGCTCGGGAGACCACAGCTCAAGGTCAAGGGGGATCCACACAAAAAATAAATACCAAAATAATGCAGGGTTTAGGGTTTAGGTTTGAGGGTTTAGGGTTGAGGGTTTAGGGCTCAGGGACAATAAGGAGAATCAAATGAAAAGAAAATGGAATTTTGGGTTATATAGGGCCCAGAGTTCGAAGAGTTTTCCGGTCGTTCCCAAGACATGGGGCTCTTCCAAACATGATCATAATTCAGAGTGTTTAAGGTTTAGGGCTGTATAATTAACTGGGACCCTCAAAGCGACCCCTAAAATTCACCCTGGTTTTGTGGAACCCTAAACCCTAACCCTGCAATCATGGCTTGTTTGCTTTTCTTCACCGATCTCTCAACGCTGAAGCTCTAGCCCGCAAATCCTGAATCCAAAGCCCTCGAAGCACGAACCCGAAGCGCCCCAAAATTGTTCTTGGTAGGAAATTGGGGAAGATGATCCCTATGTATCCCCATTATATCTATCTATATATATATATATCCCTAAACCCTAAACCTTAAACCCTTCCTCATATTCCCTACTAAGCTCCAGTATATTTAGGGTTAGGGATTGCCTTCCCTGCGCCGTACCCACTTACAAATCACCTACGGAGGCCCCGGGTTTAGGGTTTAGGGTTTAGGGTTTAGGGGCCGGAATTGTTGAGCACCAGGACGCCGTTTAGGGGGTTTATAGGGTTTAAGGCCAGCTGGCCCTTGTATCCCCCTTTTGAGGAGTGTAAGTCTAAACCCTAAACCCTAAGCCCCTCCGGCCTTCATAAACTCGAGGTTTATGGACGTTCCAGTCAAATCCAGCTCACGAAGACTGGGGAAGCGAGGAAGCACCAAGTCCTTGCACTGCTGTTATACTGTAAGGCCCTTGGGTTTAGGGTTTAGGGGAGCCCTGCTTCGTTTGAATAGAGTTTAGGGTGTAAGGGCTTAAGAACTTCAAAAATTGCTGGACAAAGAATGGAAACTTGGTTTACGTAGGGCTTCAGAATTTGTAATGTAGCACTGGGGGCAAAACAAGCAGAATTAATTGGGTTTGGGGTTCCTATTTTACTATAGCTTCATGAAAGTTGACTGGGAATAATATAGCTAGCCATCTAGGATTCTGCAGCAGGCTTGGGTTTTAGCCACCACGACACAACGAGAGATGATGCAACACGCCTGAAAGCTTGATTACGCCGCTGATCTCTGCGAGATACAGGAGCGTATGGTTCTTAGACACTGAAAACAGGCCCAACCTTAAACCCCAAACTTGAAAACCCTAATTACCAACCTGTAAGAAGTCTAGCAAGTAGGAGACACCCTGAAGGATATCAAGCTTCCGTTGTGGATTATTGTGGACTTTTCGCATTCATTTTACGAATGAACAATTGAGAGCGGCCTTGAAGTGTGAGGCTAAGGGCTTCACAGGTTTAAGGTTATAGGCTTATGTAGGGGTATTCAGGGGTACATATAAGGATGTATATAGGCATATAGAGGGCTTTAGACTGTTTTCGGTGTTGGGTAATGTGTTCCAATTTGCACTCCGGGCAATGAAACATAACTCTCCCCTGCAATCGGGTTGTTGTTAAGGAACTTAACTTAAAATCAGTTGCTAGAATAGCGACATCCTACTTATAGTGGGTGTCCATCTTATGGTAACTTAGTTGAAGTTCCTTAACAGCAGCCCGGCCTACGTACTTGGCTTCCATTGTACTTGAAGGGTGTGTAGTTGTTCGCAAAGTTGGCTATGCCAGGCTCATACGCAAAAGACTCACATCTAAGACTCTAAGAGGCCATGTTTAGGGTTTAGGGTTTAGGGTTCAAAATCAGTATCCCTCACTACGCTGTCTGTTGCACAAAAACCGTAAGCCCTAAACCCTAACAAGGAACGATGCAATGCTTCGTTCAGAAACCTTTCGACATGGCAACTTTCGACCTACAAGACCGACGAGACCCCAGCATCTTTGTGATGTAGGGGTAGTATAGGGGATATGTAGGGGTAATGGAAAAGAAACTGGAAACTATTATTTAGGATTTAGGGTGTAGGGTTTAGGGTCCTTTTTTGAGGTCCTCGTGGGGCCTTTTTTGTCAAGCTTCCAGAAAACACAAAGGCCGCCACGAGCAGAGTCTGTCAGGACAGGTGTGCAGGGAGCCAAACATAAGCATGTTCACGCCTATGTTGCAGATTAGGATTCAGGGTTGAGGGTTACACGCTTATGAAGATTCTGGATGAAGTGCATTTATACTAGGGTCTACAGTACACATATCTACTCTGTATATATATATATATGCCACCCTGCAATACAGCCTGATGCACCCTAAAACCTAAGCCCTAAATCCGAGGTTCTAACTGAACTGTAAAGTTACGAGACCTGAACCATAAACCTTTAACCCTAATTCCCAATACAAGTACGGGCACTGGCATCTTGGATGCTTGCACAACTATCATGTACACAACGTTGAGAGTTCAGGGTTGCAAGCCCTTCGGTGGATTCTGAAGGCCCTGCATTACCCTATGTACCTTCGGAGTTCTGATTCTCATAGTATACCAAGGTCATGCAAGACTGTACTATTAACATTATGCCCAGGTAAGCCACCACAGGTGAGAACTTTAGATACCAACACCCTAAACCCTAAACCCTAAAACAACGTTAAGCCTCTGCTCTAAATCCTACATCCTCAGTCGTGGAGTTTTTCTTTGAATCCTTAGGGTTGGTACCCTTGGGTTTGGGGCCCTTAAACCACGGAATATGGCCCTGAGTAAGGGTAATTGGGGCCCAAAGCCTGAGGTTACAAACATTAAGGGTGCAAACTTAAAGTCTTTGACTCAAGCTGAAAATTCTAAGCATTCAACCCTCATAAACCCCTAAACCCGAAAACCCAGCTAGTGAGATTCAGCAGCTTTCTCATGTTCTTCTCCAGTCCTACAGTCCCCAAATTCATGAGAAAAAAGCATAAATCAAATAGAAAGCCATTAGGGTCTACGGTCTGGGGGGAAATCCTAGACCTCACGAACTGTGTGCTTAGACGCCGGAAATGCTGATTCGGAAGCCCTTGATCCCCAAACCTCAATGCCTAAACCCTAAACCCTGAGGCCCATCATCTCATCGTCCCAAGACTCTAAACCCTACCGAACCCGAAATGAGGACTGTTAAGCCCTCTAGGGTTTAGGGTACGGTGGGCCTAGAGCCCCTAAAGCCTCATCCCCCAACCTGGTATACCCCTTTTTATCGCGATCCATATCCGGCCAAAAAAAACCTCCCCAAGACTGTGCTCCCTGAACCCTAAACCCTACATCCTGAAAGCTAAAACCTTAACCCCAAACCCTAAACCCTTTACTCTAAACCACCAACCCTAAACCCTTGACGCTGAACCCTTCACCCTAAATCCTAAGCCTTTTACCCCAGACCCTGAACCCGATAAAAAGATCGATATACACCTGAGTATACTATTGTCCTTTGTCTGGGAATCTGGGCAACTCTTTACCCTATAAACTCTTTAAAAACTTAACTCTAAGCCTTTACGCTGAACCCTTTACCCTAAACCCTGAACCTTATCCTTAATGGTATTAAATAAAGGGACTCCACTTTCTGGTACCCTATAAACTCTTCAATTTCCCGAAGCCCTAAACCCTAAACCCTATATAGACCCTAAACCGTAAGCCCTGACAATGCTACAATCGGTAAAGAAAGCCCTCAATGCTAAACCCTAAACCCTTAAATCCTAAACCCTAAACCCCATTATGTGGGTCCTTTGACCCTGAACCCTAAACCCTAAACCCCTAAACCCTTAAACCCAAACC